GTTTGCCACCACCCACTCCACTTGGTCCAAGAGGTGCCAGGCCTTCTCGTGCTCCTTTGCTCTTGTACATTCTCTGCCTCCCCACCTGATAACCTCGGCTTTAGAGACCCAGTTCATGTGTCACTCCTTGGTAAAGCCTCCCCTGATACCCTAAAAAAAGTTAGTGTATCAGGTAAGAATGCTCTCAGCTGAAAGCAATGGAAAGCCCAAACAAAAGAATGATTCTGACCCTAGGTTGCCATTAGAATCATCTAAGGAGCTTGTAAAAGTCCCCATCACTGGACTAATGACGATCAATTTAATCAGAGCCTCTGTAGTGGACCCAGGCATCAGTAATTTCTAAAACCTCCCATATTCTAATGCGCAGACAAGTTGAGAAATACTACAGCAGAGGTTTATTTGTGAGTCCAGAGGTGCCATTGGTGTCGGTTGAGTGGCTCAGTGAGATCCAAGCCAACATCTCAGTGATGCGCCAGACATTTCCTTTCTGCTTTGTTGCCTCTCGGTCACAGAATGGCTGTGGATGGCTCTCCATGTTCAAAGCAGGAAGAAAGCTGTAGGGAGGAAGGGGGACCCATCCTCTTTTATAAGCAAATCAAAGAGTGTCTCAGAAACCCCTACTGCAGACTTCCACTTAGATGTCACTGATCAGAATTAGGCCACCCCCAGCTGCAAAGGAGGCCGGGAAAGTGGGCACAGGATTTCTAACAGACTGAGAGGGCCAATCAGGCTCTATCATGAGGGACTGAGTAACACTGCTACTCCCGAATCAGTGTGTGCTATCAAGGAAGGAGGTCATGCATGGATATTGAAGGGTGGCAGAATATGCCACCCCAAAATATGCCACTTTGGCATGAGGATTATTTTGAGCTAAGGGCATATAAAAAACAGCAGATCCAAGAAGGGCATTCTAATCTCCCCTTTTCTTTCTGAAAACACAAGGCAAGAGCTCTCATGTGAAGCCTTCTCTGTACCAGGAGAAAAGAAACATTCTAATATAGGGAGTCAAAGCCAAGAAAATTCTGTACAAGCAGACCTTATTAAAATAATTATCATCTTCCTCTAGCCTCCCTGTGTATTTTAGTTACTTTTCCGCAATTGCCTTTCTTTATTTAACCTAGAATAAAAATATTTGCGTTTTGCCACTTCTTTGAGTTTTCGTTTCTTTATGACGGCTTCCATGTCACATAAAACTTACATAATCTTGTATATATGCTTTTTTTCCTATTAAGCTGTCTTATGTCAGTTTAATCCTTAAGTCCAGCTGAAAAGCCCTAATAGGGCAGAGGTAAAATCCTGCTTCCTCTACACTATCAAGAAGACAGCCAGCAGATTCTGCCAGAATCACCCATTTTCTCTCTGGGCTTCAAAGCTCCTTGTACACACCTCAGTTATGGCGGACATCACTTTAGTGCACTTGCAGACATATGTTGACATGTCCATGTCTCCCTATAGACTGGCAGTTCTCAACTCAGACTGCACCTTAAAATGCCTGGGGAGCTTTTGAAAAATACCAGTGCCTAGACTCCATCCACAGACATTTTAATTTAATTGGTCAGGTGAAGCCCATAACTAATTTTTAAAAGCTCTCCAAGTGATCTTAATGTGCAGGCTGGTTAACCGCTGCTACAGATCTAGGACCTTAAGAACAGGATCTGTATCTCTTCCATGAGCACTGTTCCTAGAAAATGGGGCTCATAGAAAATCCTCACTGAACAAATGAATGAATGTCAGAGAAGAATTTCGCTCTAACCTCGTCCTTTCCCAGCCTGCACTGTACCTGCCCTAAAGGTAGTTCTTCCTTCTCTTAGTTCTCCCTTCTCTGCTGAGCACCGCCCTTAACCACCTCCATGGTCCAGTTGGATGTCCCCCAGGTGCACACGCTGCCTCCAACAGCTGCTGTTCTGGGCCCTCCAGCCCCACTCTTTCCTGGTAACTGCTTTAGTCTGAGAAAGAGGTAACTTAACTCTGTCAACAGCCAGGCTCAACTCTTGTGCCTCGCTCAGCTAAAGCCCCTGCCCAATATGAGAGAAGGGCAGTGGGAGGGGCTGGGTTGCACATGCTTTCTATTCCACAGTCAGACACAATCCCAAAATGGACATCCAAGTATTTGGTGGCAGAGTGCCTAGTTAGCAACCGCCAAGCAACCCACAGTCAAAATTTTTGTTTTTCCTGCCCGAATGTAGAAAATGTATTTTATCTGATTTCTTGGACAAATGTGAGTCTGAGCGATGCCCTTGTCAATGTCACAAGAATGAGTAAGTGATGAAGGGGAACCCTCCTACACTACTGGTGGGAATGTAAATTAGTTCAACCATTGTGGAAAGCAGTATGGAGGTTCCTCAAAAAGCTCAAAATAGAAATACCATTTGACCCAGGAATTCCACTTGTAGGAATTTACCCTAAGAATGCAGCACTCCAGTTTGAAAAAGACAGATGCACCCCTATGTTTATCACAGCACTATTTACAATAGCCAAAATATGGAAGCAACCTAAGTGTCCATCAGTAGATGAATGGATAAAGAAGATGTGGTACATATACACAATGGAATATTACTCAGCTATAAGAAAAAAACAGATCCTACCATTTGCAACAACATGGATGGAGCTAGAGGGTAGTATGCTTAGTGAAATAAGCCATGCAGAGAAAAACAAGTACCAAATTATTTCACTCATATGTGGAGTATAAGAACAAAGGAAAACTGAAGGAACAAAACAGCATTAGAATCACAGAACCCAAGAATGGACTAACAGTTACCAAAGGGAAAGGGACTGGGGAGGATGGGTGGGAAGGGAGGGACAAGGGTGGGGAAAAAGAAAGGGGGAATTACGATTAGCATGTATAGCATGGGGGGGGCACGGAGAGGGCTGTGCAACACAAAGAAGACAAGTAGTGATTCTACAGCATCTTACTATGCTGATGGACAGTGACTGTGAACGGGGATGTGGGGGGGACTTGGTGAAGGGAGGAGCCTAGTAAACATAATGTCCTTCATGTAATTGTAGATTAATGATACCAAAATAAAAAATAAAAATAAATAAAAAAAGAATGAGTCAGTGATGAGTACATCCCTAGAGATGACCTCATCCCGTATCCTACCGTCTGATTCTGGCGCCCATTAATGCTTCTGAAATTGCTTGTTCAATGGTTACCTAAGGGGCCCTCCTCATGAGCGTGCCACCTTGCAGTCACACAGGGCCCCATGCCCTGAGCTCAGAAGGGTTCTGCCCTTCGTTTTATGATCTACTGTCATCATCTTGAAATTCTTAACAGTTTTTGAACAAAGGGCCCCGTGTTTTCATGTTACCATGAGCCCTGCAGTTGTGGGTCTGATCCTGGCCACCCACAACCTCCTACAAAATCCAGTAAGGTTTTCCTTCAGAAAAGTCTCCCCAGCACATGACCTCAGCCTCTTCTGTGCAAGTCTCTGTGATACCCGACTCCCCTGTTCTCTTCCACTACCTTAGAAGAGAGGTGTAATGGGGTGGCATGGGCTGCAAACGATGGTTAGGATCAAGAAGTCTGGGAAATAAGTCATCCAAGCCCTCCTTGGCTCCTAGTCATGAGGGAGACTTAAAAGGTCCAAGCTGAGAACCCAGGGCTGCAGCTCACTGAGAGAACTAGAGTCAGCTCCAGTCCAAAACTTCAGCCAGAAAACTCAGAGGGGACCACATCAGACTTCACATATCTGGAAGAACCCTCTCCAACTCCTAGAAGGGCTGTCTACCAACAGCACAGAGAACAAACTGAAATGGAACCACAGTGCCCCTTGCTAGGCAAGAAGTTGGGCAGGAGCCGGGTGACCAGGAGAGAGACAAGTTACCCAAGGCAAAGGCTGAGAGAAGTTTGCTCACCATGGAAGAATGTGCCAGTGGGTGTGGCAGAAGGGCAGAGGAGGAGAGTCCAGGAGGGATGAGGTTCTAGGGGAGGCAGCTGCTGGAAGCAACAGATGTGAGATGGGACCCACCCCAGTTCTTCCCTCCAGGCCTGCCATACAGCAGTCCTTCTGCTTGGCCAGGATCTAGACAAGGGCCAGAGGTTCTGGGGGGCAGTCTCAGCCCCAGCTGGGAAGGGAAGAATGGAAGCTGGCAAGGTCACGGCCTCAGGAGGGGGGCACAAGGCAGGGAATGGAACTGGGGCCTGGCCTCCTCACAGCAGAGTTCATCAGGACCCAGGATCTGCCTTCCCTTGGCATCACCTGGCCAGGTCAGGGCTCAGGTATCCGACACCTGGGGCCCTGGATCACATGCCAGGTAACCCAACACTCTTGGGCCCCAGCCCCCAACTTCCAGCATTGATGAGCAAGCAGAGCTCCCGCAGGAGGAGACGGGTCTCCAGAGACGAGCAGCAGGGCTACTCCGGGGAGAGGGCAGCACAGGAGAAGGCTCTCCTATCAACAGGGGTGAGAGGATGGGAGGGCAAAGGAGGGGCGTGGGGAGGAAGAGCGGGACAAACAAGACAAAGCTGGGTCAGGCAAAGAGGTGGAAGCTCCAGGAGAAGGGGTGGATGGGCCCAAAGGTGGGGCCTTAGTCACCTACCTAACTGGATGCCCTGGAGTCCTGTCTCTGATCCATCTTACTTGTTTCCTTCACACTAGTGAAAGCCAGGCCCTCTGGTGCCTACCTTGCCCCCTGGCAACCACCCAGGTAGGTGGTGGGTAAAAATGAGAAAAATAAATACATGGGTAGAGGCAGAAACTTAGAAGCCCCCAGACCGAGAATGACCAACAGGGCCTTATACCAAGAGATGTCATAGATCAGTGCTCGAGAATCAGATGCCCTAGAAGGTCTCAGCCCAGGGGAGCCTGTACCCACAGGGCCCAAATGAGAAGCCCCAGACCCCAAGGAAGTGGCAAAAAATCATCCATGCCTGAGAGAACCCCCAAAGGACAGGCCCCAACCTAAAGAGACTGCAAGGGGGCCTCAGGAAGAGAAAGTTAGCCATCGGGAATGGAATCCTCTGGACTCATTCTTCCTTTATGGGGCTTTGTCTTCCCCAGGTCCTCCACTCCAGAACAATGCCAACCTGTGGCCATGCTCCAATCAGCTGATCACCTCCTGTCCCTCCTGCTGGTAATAGGTACAGGGAGCAGCATGCCTAGCCCCCAGGCACCTCCCCAGGGCTGCTATGTGGCAGAAGAAGCTGGTGAACGGACGTTCCGCTGCAGCCAGGCAGGCCTGAGTTCCGTGCCCACTGGCATCCCCAATGACACCCGTAAGCTCTACCTGGATGCCAACCAGCTGGCCTCAGTGCCTGCTGGTGCCTTCCAGCACCTGCCTGTCCTGGAGGAGCTGGATCTGTCCCATAATATCCTTGCCCACCTCTCAGGGGCCGCCTTCCAGGGCCTGGAGGGCACGCTGCGCCACCTCGACCTCTCTGCCAACCAGCTGGCCTCGGTGCCAGTGGGGGCCTTCGTGGGGCTGCAGATCCAGGTGAACCTGTCCTCCAACCCATGGCGTTGCGACTGTGCCCTTCAGGAGGTGCTTAGGCAGGTGAGGCTGGCACCAGGCACTGGGACAGGCATCGTGTGTGGCCCAGGAGCCCGACCAGATCTGGTGGGGCAGGAGTTCCTGCCACTGGCAGGGGAGGAAGAGCTGTGTGGGGCAGGGCGGGGCGGAGCCCGGCGGAGCACTGATGTGGCCCTGCTGGTCACCATGGGGGGCTGGTTGGCACTCGTGGTGGCTTACCTGGTCCACTACATGTGGCAGAACAGGGAGGAGACTCGACGCCCCCTCAAGCAGGTGCCCGTGCTACCCATGTGCTCCAAGGACCCCTCCACCCTCAGCACAGCGGTCTAGGGACCAGGGCCATGCCTCTGGCCCCAAGCCCCACACTCCTGCCTCTACGCCCTCTTGTCCTCTGACCCCCTCTGTCTCCTCTGCAGCCCCATCCCATCCCCCCTTCCTCTCTGTCTTCCCTGAACACCTGGTCCCTCTCTCTCTCTCAACCAACACCATCTTTGGTGCCTGGAGTTTTGATGCCTACTCTGCCTGGATGGTGCTAGCCTCAGAGACCCAAAGCTGCCAAGTCCACAGTGGTGCGGGGCATGACAGATCCAAAAATGACTGTAGGTGGTGTGTGTGCCAACTCGGAGGCAGCTGCAGGGGCACAGCGTGGGGCGCCTCTGCCTGGCTCATCCCAAAGGCTTCACTGTAAGGACGGTGAACTGACTTTTCAAGAATGAGAAGGACTTTGAGCAGAAGCGGAAGGACCCTAGCTGGAAGGCAGTGGACAAAGGCAAAGATGTAAAACAGATGGAATGCTGGGGCGAAACGTGCCTGGGACTGGAACAGAGGCTGCAAAGAGGAGTGAGGGGATAATGGGAGCAAGCTGGAGGTGAGGTCAGGAAGCTGGGTGCAGCCAGATTGAGGAGAACCCTGGGGGCTCCTCCTCTCCCTCTCTCCACCTCTACTGAGGCGCTCACCTCACTTACTTCGGCCTCTCTCTTGGCCCCGGGCTCTTCTCCCTGCTCCCTCTATTGAGGAGCTGCTGGCTTAGGATACCCTGCTTCCCTTTCCCAGCTCTCTGCCCCTCCCCCATACACTGAAGGGCTTCCTGAGCCCTTTCCCTTGGGGGAAAAGTGGTCTCCCCTCTGCCTGAGCTGGGGATGGGTCACTGGGAGCCGAGGGGAGGCGGGGGAGCTAGGAGGCCTCCCACCCCCAGAACATGGCTGGACAATTCAATAAAGTCCTTTTCATGAATGTCCCTGATCTCTGTCTTATCGTTCATTTCACTGAAGAGTGTGGCCTGGCAGTGAGGAGTGGGGAGGGTATGGAGGCTTCACCACCACCTCCTCCACCCCTTTAGTGGTGGGCGCTCCCACTGGGCAAGATCCCAGTTCCCCTCTTCCCTCCTACCTCCCCGCTCCTAACACCGGAGTGTCTGTTAGGGATGCCAGGGCCTATGAATTAATGATGATGGAACCACAGGGATGGGGAATTTGAGGGGCCCAGGAGGAGGGCAGAGTCCAGGCAGTCTCCAGCCTGCTGGAGAGGCACAGGAGGCAAAGGGAGAGAGAGCTGTTACCCTCCTGGCAAGGTGTCTTTTCTCTCAGTGGGAGTCTGAGCAGGGGGTAGGGAAAAAATGGATGTGCTCAAAATTAATAAAAGAATTCATAGGAGTGCGGACACTAAGCTGGCTGCAGGAGAGGGCCCACATGAGGCATCCTTATCTCCAAAGGGATCAGCGCACCCTGTCTCTCACCCTGTGCAGGATGACCCACCCATGTGGCCCCCCTGGAGGAAAAAACCGCTTTGGGGAAGCTCATGGGAGCCCCAACAGAAACTGAAGATAAGGACCACAGAACCAGGGCTCCACCCAGCCTGGGGCAGACGAGGCAACCACTCAAGGAGCAGCAGAGAGGACCCCATCCCCTCCAGTGGCCCCTCTGACTCGCCCCAACTTCCCTGTCCCCGTTCCAGCCCCCTCCGCACTGGCTCCAGCCCTCCCTGAGGCTCCCACCACCACTCTGTGGCTCATCTCCTCCCGTCATCCGGGAAGCCTCGACTTGATTCATTTCAGAAAAACTTGGGAACCTCCCCCACCCCCACCCATCCTCTTTTCTCAGGAGACATGGGCCTCCCAACTTCCCAGGATGCCCAGGGATGGGGGAAGAACTAGGATGTGGGAACTTACAGGCTGCAGCTTTGGCCATCCACCCCAGCCCCACCTTCGCCTGTGCCTTGGAATCCAGTCTCCATTGTTATCAAAGCCCTCCATCGGTCCCTCCCTTGCTCCTGGAATCAAGGTGGGACACATCTCACCCGATGCTAGGAAGGGGACTGTGCAGACCAGGTGGGGCCCCAGGTCTCTGTTCCTGGTGCCCATTTCTGGAGCCTCATTCAACTTCCTGTCACCCTGAGCAGCAGAGACCATGTATTTAAGGTCTGCAGAGAAGTGGTTCCCCTCCCCTGACACCTAATGCTCAGAGGGGAGCTCAGGATGGGAAAGGTTCCCGGGAGGGAAGCTCTGCCAGGAGCCCAGATCAGGAGGGGTCCTGGAGCCCTGAGTGATAAACGTTCCACCAGGGCCCCCCTCTGGCTCAAATTCCCTTCCCTCTCTGGAGCTAGGACAGGAGGAAAGGGAGAGGGAAGATGAGTAGGCAGAAGACGGTGGCTTGGGGAGACGGCAAGGGAGATGCCTCATTGGCTCCCTGCCCCTTCACCCCTGCTAGTTAGGGTTCCTGAGTCAGAAGTTGGTGGGAGGGGGGCCATCAGAAGCTGTAGCTTCAGTTCAGCCCATTACGGAAGACTGGACAGAGTAGGGCCTCCACAGACACTGCTGAACACCTAAGCCCTTTCCTCAGCACCCTGGCTCCTGGGTTGTACTTGTCCACTGGGCAGGCAGGGCAGGGTGGTATAACTGGTTTCTCCCCCATCTTTCTCTCTGCCAGAGACCAGAGATCACAGGAGCCATGTTCCAAGACACCACCTGGCCCCCGGCAAGGCAGATGGATGGCCTTATTTTTGCTGCTTGTTTCTGGCCCTTCTGCCTGGAACAGGGGAAGAGGGGACACACCACATCAAGACCCGCCTCTCCCACCAGGATGTGCTGGAGCCAGGAACAAAGCTGCCAGGTACGAAGAGAGCCCAGCCACACACCTGGCCCAGGTCTGTGGCAGAAACCAGCAAGGCCTGGGGCAGGCCCTGGCTTGCCATCCATGTGCAGCATCCTAAAGCCAGTGGGCTCCACCAGGAGCCAGGCAGGAGGAGAGGAGAAGCCCAGCACTCAGCCTGTCCACCAGCCGCTCCTTCCTGCCCTGTGGAGCAGGAGCCTGGAGCGGCAGAGAAGGCAGACACTGCCCTCAGGGAGCCTCCTGTCTGAGGAGGAGATCCAAACCTAACTCTCAGGGACTCCCAGACTAATAGAAGAAATGGGATCCTTTCTCTCTGGGAAGCTCACCTGAGGAGACAAAGGTGTGCCCCAGACACAGAGACTGACATACCTACGGAGCCTTGTTACCTACAAAAGGAAGTGAACAGAGAGCAGATTGAGTAAGTGGGGCTAAGGGAGACAGGTAAGGAGCATCGGTGGGTTACAGTCCCCACCCTTCCCGGCTGGGGCTCACTTACGGGCACCTCAAGTACAGCACTGAGCTCTCCTACAGGGTGAGGGGATGTCGGCACTGAAACCAGCAGCAACCCAGGCAGCTTATTCCCTGGGGAAGGAGTATGCGTCCTCCCTTAGACTAAGGAGGATTCTGACTAGAAACGGTTTCACGTCATTCTTCTGGGATTTGGTCACCTGCAACCTCACTTGTCTATGAGGAATGTTGCCCCAAACCAGGCAGCACAAAACAAAGCAGAACGAGGCCTCAAGCCACCAAACAGATGCCACCACAAGCCTACTTGGTCATTCGACAAACATTTAGATGAGTGACTAGTACACACCAGGCACTGCAGACAGAAAGATGAGGAGGTTGTGGTGCCCTCCGGAGACCCGACAGGTTGGTGTACTGGTGATGACAGCTCGATGGCAGCGGTGTCCACAGGGGATGTGTGAGCCCACAGGGGTCATCAAAAGCAAACACTAAGGTTCATATACCTTGTTCATAGGAGTAGTCACTCAGAGCCTATTTATTTTACCCATTTTAAAAATCTTATTTTACATAGCACTCTAATAATTTTGGACCTACAATTTCCTGCATATAACAGGTTAAAAGCAGTATATCTGAGTAGCAAAAAATGTTTATTACAGATAGAGTAACAGCAGTGAGAAATGACAGCCTGACAACTGGAAAGGACATTATTAATAGTATTCAGAAAAACTCAAAAAGCACTGCAGTAGGACCTTTTAGTGTCTTCTAAATGGCCCTGTGCGAACAAATGATTCTCCCTGTCTCCAAGAGGGCTATGGACATGGGCAAAATGCATAATATTAATCACATTGAGCTGCCTACAAAAGGTCCAATCATGGTGTCCACTTGGGACAGGGGGCAAGTTTGAGAAAGTTTCCCTCCTATCAGGGCAGAAGTAAATAATGCAGAATGACTGTTGGAAAATGCTCATTCTAGCTGGCCTACTTCCTTGTACCTTCCTCGCACAGGTCCCAGATCAGCTCCTGGAACTGTGCAGAGCAAGCCTGATCTCTCTGGGACACAACCCTTTGGACAAGTGAAGACGGCTCTGGAGTCTCTTGCACTTGGAGTCAGCTGATTATGGTTCTTCTCTCTTCTTGTCTCTCTGTCCCCAGTTAATGTCCTCCCACCACAACCACACCCACATACCTGCCTCAGGTCCCTGGAATCCAGTTTATCTTTTCGCAGTCATGATACTCATTTCTGCACTTATGACAATTACTATCTTCCTCTTTTAGAAATGCTAAAAAAATTCCAGTCTCTATACTAAAACAAATATCTGAGGTCAGCCCTCAATTCTCATTCACTTTTGGGGTCAGGGACAATTTGTCTTGTAGAGTCAAACCATCAGGGAAGGTTCCTGCAAAGAATGTATGGGAACAAGCACAAGGGCATGTCTGTCCTCTATAACCAAGAAGATTGCAGAGTGCTGTGGAGAGGCAGTTTGAAGATTCCATGCCAGGTGAAAGGGGCTGGCATTGAGGGGCATGCCCCCACCCAGAGCCACATAAGCTGTCAGAGCTGGCAGGCATCTTCATTTTACAAAAAGGCCCGGAGATGAGTTGTCCAAGATTACACAGGGGGTCAGGGAAGAACCAGGACTAGAACCCACAGGGCCCCTGTCCTTCTGGGACAGGGTCACACACACACACACACACACACACACTGCTCTTCCAAGGGAATGGGTTGATGGAAGGGCAATGAGGGACAAGGGTGGGCCCAGGGGTGCAACTGAAGGAGCCTGACATGGACAGCAAGAGGGCCCTATACACTCAAAGCCAGCCCTACGCCACCCACCAGAGGAAGCTGAAGAAGCTTTGGAAGCATGGGGAGAACTTGTACATGTGTGGTGACTGACGCTGTGGAGATGCAGAAGGAAGGCACGCTGGAGAACAGCGTAAGGGTGGAAGGGGATTGCATCCCCCTTTCACTGCTGTGTGGTTCAAAGCTGGGAATTCTCCAAGATGCTTTCTCTGCCCACCCCCAATCCATACCCATATCCATGCTCCCTTCTCTGCCTCCTGCAGCCCTTGAATCTCCCCTACATCATTAGGGCAACCTAACATCCCTCTCTCAGCCATACCTGCCTCTCAGCCAGTTCCCCTAACAATGGCATTTTCATCTTTTGTAAATCCATGCTTCTCTTTTCTAAGGTCTACTCCATCTATGACCACACACCAATCCTGCGAGGTAGGCTAAATTGCTACTGCGATCCCCATTCCACAGTGTTTAGGAAACTACATAGGAAAGAAAGGTCCAGGAACTCACCACGTACCAGCAAAACCCGGGTTTGCAGACTCCCAGCTAGTGCTGTACCTTCACAGCTCCGCCCCGGCTGGAGCCCCCACCCTCTGCCAAGTGCTGCTCTGTTCATTTCTCTCCCATCTACCCCTTGGAGCTCTCAGTCCCCTGGGTTCTGTTCCCACCTCCGTCAACCGCAGTCACCCACCGTGACGCGTGCGTGCCTTTTGGAAAATACTGTAAGGAGTTGAGCTCCCTGGGCACCCCACACCAGACCCTATCTCATCAGGGAAGGGGTACCTGAGGGAGGGCCCAGGACGCCAAGCCCCA